TAATCCCTAGACAGTTTTGTTTTTCCTCTTACACAGGGCAGACGTTCACAACCTGAAATCCTATAACCATATGTCCTGGGTGCAGTGCCCAGGGATTTGCAAAAGTCGCTATCAAATTGTAATGTTTAATAGGGGAGAAGCTGAGCTTTATTACAGGGCTCACTATGCTTTGAAAATGATTTGGAGAAGAGAGCATTCTGCCACCTTCTATGTGCAGTCTTTCCACTCACTGAATCTGAGCAGCATAGTCTGTCACTGCTTCTAGACAAAAGTGTTCACTTAGATTCCCTTCAGTCACCTAGCGCCATCACAGCTGTTGGGAATGATCCAGCCTTAGCTACTTTTGCATCACAGATCCACCCATTCTTTGTAGTCCGTGGACAGAAAAACAAGTCCAGGCACAGTCCTTTGCTAATAAAATATTGGTTAATCTTGCATTAAAGTAGAACAGCACTCTGCAACTAACATGCAACTGCAGTTCTCAGTTTTGGCACAGGAAAATCTCAGGGAAAAGGCCATAGCTTATCTGCCAAACACTCAGTTTGCTATGTAGAAGGTCCCAGGTTCACTGAGCAAGCGAACAAAGAGAGTAACAGGAGGGTGGAATGAATTAATCAAGGGAAGAAAAAAGTGGGAGAGGACAATGAATGTCTTCCATGAGGCTGTGTCCTCATATGTGAAAACATAATCTCTTTGAGAAGCTGCTGATTGCCAACCATGGTTGAGTGCCTACTTCTTCCTGAGCAAGCAGAGTCTGTAGGAGCAACATAAGGCAGCCAGGATCAGGATTGCTGAGTAAGAAAAACAGCAAACACAAACAGGAATTTGCCAGGATAGTTTGGTAAGAATTTTCCCTGTAAGTGTGTGTGTGTGTGTATACATACACACACTTAACTAACCTAAGATTGAGAAAAGAAAAATAAACAAAGGCCTTAGTAATGGTACCTTAAGAAACAAAAGTAAAGCTGAATAGACAGAACTCTGCAGAAGTGACCTGCATTGCTTGTGACATGTTTGTGTTCCTCCTAAAGAACAACCTAGCATATATTTGCAAGCAAGTTCAAGCTTTTAGAAAAAGTCAAAGATGGAGCAATGAATAGCCAGACTTCAGCTGAAGAAAGAGGATGAAGGTATTCTTGGACATAGAAATAACTCTACAGACTGGCATTTTGCTTTGAAGTTAAGACAGCTCCCCTATTTAAAAACCATAAACAATAAAATTCAGTGGAACAGGAAGCTGTGGACATCAAGGAAATGATCAACCGATGCTCTGGTGCCCAGAGGCACCATGTTCAGAATCTCAGACACAGAATCTTACACAGTAGATCATGTGCAGGATTCTAAGTGCCAAGCTTTCAATTAAGAGGGAATCAAGACTGAAAGGAGGGAGATGCTACAAAGCTACTCAACTCATTGCCCAAAATAAGGGTCCCTTTGGACTAAACTTTCTTTCTCCTGGTCAGTGCAGACCATGACTGAAACCATGGGAACTTACATAGATTGTGGTGAGCACATTCACTGATGCCTCCAAATATTATGAGTTGTCACTTCCACTTTTGCCATTGGTCATGCTGGCTGGAGTAAAACTCAAAATGTCTGCAGGGGTTACATTCAGTTGGAGCAACCTGGGTGGGATCAATTTTTTTTTTCTCTCAACTTGAGGCTCGTATTAGGTTTGCTGCCTACAAGGGCATGACCACGGCCTAGGGATGGATTTTCCAACCCTCTTCTGTGGCTGGTTCATCCATTTGGCTAAAATAATGGAGCTTCAGCCAGTTAATCATTAGTAGGGTGGATGACACTTAACTTAATCTGGATCTAACCTGCTGCACTTTGGAATGCTATAGTATTTTCTGTTTTGAACCATCTGCTGTATATTTGATAGGTTGTATTTTGTCAAGTGGAAGGTCCCCCTGTCACAATCTGATCTGCCTAAATCAGTGTTGTCCAAACTTGGCCACTTTAAGATGAGTGGACTTCAACTCCCAGAATTGGAAGTAGCCCTAGTGCAGATTGCTGCTAAATAAAAAATAAAAATAAAACACGTACCAGCCAGGCATTATACAACCAATTATCCACATAACCAGGAGACAGACTTTATGTTCTGCCCAGGGCCCCAGGCCCGGGCACAAAACCAAGATTCTGGGAGTTGAAGTCCACTCATCTTAAAGTGGCCAAGTTTGGACAACACTGGCCTAAATGTTACAAAAGATAAATCTTTGGTCCATGCCACCTGATTTTAAAAGAGGAAAAGCCTGTGATTTTTACTAGGAAGTAGCCCTACTGCAGATTGCTGCTAAGCTTTTATTTATTCGGTTTATATAGCTGTCCATCTTGCTTTTATGTGATTTTAGGTGGCTTACAATAAAATACATAAAATACACAATATAAAAAATAAAAATAAAACACGTACCAGCCAGGCATTATACAACCAATTATCCACATAACCAGGAGACAGGCTTTATGTTCTGCCCAGGGCCCCAGGCCCGGGCACAAAACCAAGTTTTCAAAGCCTTATGCAAGGCCAACAGGGATAGGGCCAATCTAATCTCGGGGAGGGGGGATGATCTTCCAAAGGGAGGGCACCATTGCAGAAAAGGCTCTCCTTCTGGGCCCCATCAGCTGACATTTCTTAGCTAATGGTATCTGGAACATAGCCCTCCTGTCGGATTGGCTGTTAAGCATCCTATAATCCTCCACCCTCAGCAGCTTGAAGCATCCGGCCAACCTTGTCTAGATCTGAAAACTAGGCAGGTTCATACCTGGTTGGCACTTGGATGGGAAATCATTCAGGAATATTAGGACTGAAGGCTAGATTGGAAAACTGAATAACAAAAACCATCCAGAAGCTTCTGTATTGTTGCTGAGAAATCTAGACATGTCCATGAGGTCAACCCAAGTAGAACTCACTTCAGAGACTTCCAACAGTACAGAGATCACCTGCAATCATCTTCTTCCTGATTTTTTTCTTATTTTCCAGTCTGGCATCCAGCTCAGATAGTCCATGGAGGTCTCCCACCCAAGCACTAAGCAGGCCTGACCCTACTTTTCAAGTCTGGACAAGGTCTGTCAGGTGCTGCCATCTGCTGAGATAAAGGAGACTTCCCTGCTATAAATGCTAGCATAGATTGGAAGAATGGATCATAAGCTACTCAAGAGCTATTGGGAAAGATGCCAAAGTTCAAAATACCACCCCAAAGGCTCTTCAAAAATTGACCTTTTCTTTTGTGATTAAAAGGAAAATTATTCAATGCATGGAAAGTAATCATGTTAAATTGATTCAACTTGGATACAGTTTCTGTACTTGCCCTGCTTGCTTCTTTATCTTGGCTTCATCTATTTGGTGTATGATTCAAGGATGTCACTCAAAGGCCAAGGAATATACAGCAGGCACTTCTTTGTTGAAGATCTTTGGTCCAATTTCTATTATCTCTAATTAAAGTCTGTCAAACGGCAGCAGCTGGGAAATACCTTTTCTTGATAGGTTAGATCAATGTTTCTCAACCTTGGTGACTTTAAGACATGTGGACTTCAACTCCCAGAATTCCCCAGCCAGCATATACTGGCTGGGGATTTGTGGGAATTGATGTCCACATGTCTTTAAGTCACCGAGGTTGAAAAACACTGGGTTAGATCAAGGATTGGCAACATAGCAGCCATGCCACCACTAGATGGCACTCACTGACCTCCAAAATGAAAAAAGCAGTGTGCACTTGTGTGTGTAAATAAATAAATAAATAAATCTATTTTTCATCTGAAGATGAAATTGTGGAATTTGGCTGCCTTCTCACATATAACTCCCAGGATTTGGGACTTTTTAAAATTCCACTTATCTTTTGCAAGGTTGCATAACCACACTTACTACCAGAAAAGTTTGTAGACCAGTTTGCCATTAGAGTTAGGTAGAAGATGCTGGATTTAATAGAGTAATTATAGGATTCATTCCTGACTTTATTTGCAACATATAACCCAAGCTAAAATATGGCTCCAATAGAAGGGAAGGTTGAAATATGGCTTTTAACCTGTTTTCTAGCTCCAAAATGAAGTGTGGAACTTTCCAGTGCCAGTTGCTTTATATCCCATGTTGAGAAGTTTTATTTTGTAATATCAACATTCACAAAAATAAAATAAAGATTATACAATGTAGGCTTTCTATTTACATTTGCCATTTCTATAAAGCACAGACCTTCTTGAGTTATTTACAGTGTTTGCTTTCTCCCTTAGCAAAAAAGCCAGCTGGTCTGTGGTAGACTGGTACACAAACTGAATATTAAGTTGGATTGTAGAAAATTGAGTGTTGGCATTCCAAGGCAAGAGAAATGATCTTGGACAGGGTCTATAAAACTCAAACTTCCAATGACCTCCCGGTGGTTTCCATGTTTACAATCTTACCTTCACGATTGCACAACGCAAGTTCAGTATGTTGTCTTTGTAGTGACTCTAAAATTTTAGAGATCCTTTTTTGGGTGTGTAGAAACATCCGTAAATAGAGTTCTGTGCAGTATTTAAATAAAAAATATTGGTGCGTTCTGTGGAGCTACGAAACAAATGTATAGCATTACCCACCCTGGTCTTAAAGTCTACCAGGGGTTGGAAAACATTCCCAGTTGCTGAGAAATTTTTTCCCACATGGACGCTGCCATATTTGTGGATTTGCTGAGCATTCTGGGAGTGAAAGTCCACACATTTGTGGGCACCGGGTTGGGGAGGTCTGTTCTGGGACCTTTTGCCAAAATCAAGACTTAGCATCTGCTCAAGACAAGACAAAGAAGAAAACACAAGGTTCGGGAAGAGATGTGCAAAAGCAGGACAAAAACTAGGGAAGCGTGTTTTATTTTGTGGGAGAAAAATGAGCAAAGGATTTTGTCCTTAGTGTGAACTGGTTTTGTTGCTGACACAAAAACCACATTCCTTGCTGGTCGTCAGGATTTCAACTCTGATGTGCCCAACTCCTGGCTGTAGTGAATGTCAAGACAATAAAGCACACTAGAATACAAGCATCTTGCTCATCAAGTTTAAACAGCTGGTCCAGGGAAAACAATGCAGAAATACGACCTGTGGCATGCTAGTACATGTAGCCAAGAAAAGAGAAGCTGCTAAGAAATAAAAGCTACATACCCCCAAGTGACAGTATTTTAATGAGGCAACATTGTTTGAGGCAAGCATGAATTCAAAAAATTCCACAGGAACCGAACTGGGTTATCTAGAAATCAAATGATGGACAGATTGTATGGGGAAGCAGAGCATGTGATTTTGCCTCCCTCCCAAAAAAGAAGATAAATGTTGTTAAAATATTACAAGACTAGTCTGATTTTTGAGTGGCTCATTCAACTGAGCTTTCGAACAAAAGTGTTGCTATTCTGAGGACAGTTGCTGTGACACACACACGTAGCGATGGACATCACAGGATGCTCGATAGGGTTGCCTTCAGGACAACGGAATTCCACCTGGATTGTTCTCGTTGTGTGTGGAGTGCAGCACCGTCCATCGTTGCAGATGCCACAGTAACGGGGTTTATACATCTGGATGCTGGTGCAATTCTTGTACTCCAGATGGACAGCTGTGCGAGCCTTTATAGTTCGGAGACATTTCTTCCCCTTCTAAGAGAAAGGGCAGAACGTTAATTAGGTGGACACCCAAATCCAAGTTAACGCCACACAACTATGATGCATTAGGATGAAATGGATGTCATTTCAATGGCGGGAGGCCACTTGTAATGCTTTTTTGCTTGGGATGAAAGCCAGAGTGTGTGGGCAAGGATGCAAAACAAGCGATCTGTGCAGGAAAACGGTGCACGGAAAATTTTCCCCTTAGGCGAGTCTGGCAATTTCAAAGTCGCATGGTGATAGTGAAATTGCAGAAGGTGGTGTGGAATTACTGGAAGACACCCCTTTTCTTATATACATGGTTTCCCTTTTTACATAATAGGTGCCTACAAGCTGTAAATCAACAGTTGGTGGGTTAAGATGAGCCTCATTTCTTATGCTTCACTTTTTTGGACATGATATCAGCAGAACGTGTTTATCTCGGACTCCTTTTCAGTGATATCAGCATAGCATGGTCTCAGACCCTTGATCACAAGGCTAGCCACTTGGTGTAGGGAGTTAGACTGGCACGTCAGGCATGTTTCACAGAAAAGACTTTTGGATTTACCCAAACACCTTTCTGAATTGCAAATCCATTTGGAGTTTGCAAAGTCAACTTTCAACTGAATCTCCAAATTGAGGCTTCGCACAGCCATAGCAATTTTCATATGCTTTGTACCTCAAAATGGGTAGGTCACAAGTCTAGGAAGCCAGGAGAAACACTTGGGTTAAATTGCAAAAGTGGCAGGACTGGATGTTGGAGGCAGGATGAAAAGCTAATTAACTTTTCCTGCATGTTACATGGAAATGTGCAAAGCAGCGATGCTCTTAATGGCAACCACGACTACAAGAGTGGCTGCAAGAACAGGCAGCTTTCTTTGAACCTGTGAATGTTTACCTTCGGGTACTACATTCCTTTCTCTGGGGGAAAAATCTCATCTGCCATAAAAGGTGATAAATGTGCATTAGAAGCGCCCCCCACCCCCAAATTTCTTTCCTCTTAGAGAAAAGGTTCCCAGAACAGCCTTATAGTATAATGGGAAGTCTGAAGCAGGCAGCTTGACACAGCTCAAACTCTTGGAAATATCCTTGGAGGCAGATCCCAATTATTAACCTACACCAACCCATTATTTGCTAAAGAAATATGGAAGCTCTGGGTAGAGCTGGATTCAATTCTCCAAATGGGATAGTTGAAACATGGCCGTATTATTGCATGGCGTGTGCTTCCATTAGTACATCTACTGCTACTTCAGAGTGTTAAGAGCTGAAAAGGTCTCCCATTTAAGGCATTACCTAGATGGCCTTATTTTGGCATCCAGTAGTACCCTAAGCTATTATTTGGACCCAGCTGTTACTACTGATGGTAGCACCCACATAAAGAAGCTATATAAGATGGCTCCCGAAGAGATGTGTCACAAGCGTAGATTCTCATCAGGCCACTGTTGTACTGGGCTCCCACTAAGGGAACTCTGCTCAGCTTGTCCCGTCTGGCTTTGCTGGGACTGCAATTTTCCCAATTCCTAGTCAACACGATAATCATGGAATTCCAGGAGCTGCATCCCAACCCATACGAAGTTTGCCAGTCTGGCTGTTCTGGCTAAAGGAACGTCCTTCGTCCTCTCTATGGAATCAGTTTTGTGAGTAGAATTATAGAATTAACAAATGGCTTGAGAGATCATATACCATCTTCTGAGACACTGGCTAGCTGCCTGCTTCTGCAGTAGCCCCACGCCAGGCCCTTCTTGCTCTGGGTGCACTTGTATTCTATGTGTGATGGAAGCCTACCAAAATCTATTTCCTCACAAGGCAACTCATTTTAGAAACCATTTCTGGAGATAAATGTATTAAAAAAGACCTGCTGGATCAGGCTGACATCCATCTAGTCCAACATATTTCCCACTGTGGTCCAACCCAAGATATCCAGGACACTCACAAACAGGTGTAAAGAAATAATTTAAATGAAGGACTTAATGGACAATCAGCTCAACCTTCACCTCCAAGCCAAGGTTCTATGTGCTATTCTCTAAAATTAGTACAGGTTAGTACAATCACTTGAATGTAAGCCATACTGTCAGGGCCAGCCCAAGAACAACGACGAGACAGTCCAGTCCAATATAGTTCCT